TATGTGACCACAGAGAGACTGCAGGGAAGAGCCAAGGATGAAGACCTCCCATGGCCAGGAGCTATCAGAACCCAGGAAAAGCATGTGTCAGAGAACCCCGAGCACCAAACGATGGGGCAAGAAATGCTGTCAGGTCAGTGGGGATGCTCAGGTCAGGAAAGACTTCAAGGATGAAGTGTCTCAAAAGCAAGGAGAAACCAGAAAGCAAGTTACACTGTTACACTGTGACAGCTGGGGGCAGCTGAGTGGAGGTAGGGTGCCACAGTGCCTGCTTCACCAGGTCTCCGACGCAGAGTGACCTCAGCCACCATGTGTTTGTGTGTGTGTGTATGTGGATGCATACATATGTGTGTCCCTGTCAGGCTGTTCATCTACCTCCTGGCTGTGTTTCTTTTGCCACCTCTCTCTGTAGAGATAATAGGAATATTGATGGGTGGCCCATAGATAGATAGATAGATAGATAGATAGATAGATAGATAGATAGAGATAGGAGAGTTGAGCCCTGGCCCTTCTGCCTCTCTTTTTCTCTCCCCCATCTTCCTCTCTCCCATCTTTTCACTCCTAATGTTGGGAACATGGTTCAGTCTATCATCAGCACCATCTTCATTCAAGCCACTGTCCTTGTCCACATGTCCAGCTCAACTGCTTCATCACTTGTCCCCCCACGGCCTCTGTTCTTGCCTCTCTCCCATCAATTTCCTACATCCTTGACAAAGTAAATGTGTAAAGATCCAAAGCTGACTGGCATTCCACTCCCTAAAGCCAGGAATGAAAACAGTCTTTATCACTATCGAAAAGCCCTGCCCACTCTCTGAGTGCATCCAGCTCCTACTAGTGGATCCTCCAGTGCCTCAGAGTCCTTCCTCTGACCCCAGGACTTTTGCACTTATTCTTTCTATTACCTGGGATCTCCCTCAGCCCTTGTCTCACGCCTCTTCACCTAGTTAACCCTTGCTTATCTTTCACATCTCAGGGAAGGCTTCTCTGACTATTCGACATCCACATAAAGGCTGGACCATGTTCTTTCATTTCTTTTACGGTCACTTTATAGCCCTTATCCAAGTGTAACTCTGTGTGTGTGTGCATGTGTGTGTTGATTCATGTCTATCTCTTGCATTTAACTTTTAAAATGCAGGAAAGCAGAGACTGCATCGTTTTTAAAAACACTGAATGCTCAGAACCCAGTACAGTAGCTGCAGGCACACTTCTATTTTATGATGGTCTGCTCCACTCCCTACAGCACTGCCAGCTCTGAGTAATGTGCTAGTTGCACTTTACGTTTGTGTTGATGTTTTCCCTAAAGAATTATTCCTTTAGCCCACATCATCTATCAAAGGATGGAGAAATGGAGCCCAATCCAAGAAACCCAAAGTTTCCCAGGAAGACAGGAGATGCTGTCTTTCTTTATGGAAGCAAAGCATGTACAGAATTCTGCCTCATTCATGTTTATCATCCACGCAGGCTTTCAGGCATTTGAGTTTAAAACTCCTCCTTCACAATCTGCTCCAGCCCCACTATATTTATTTGTGAATTCATTTAAGATTTATTTCTGGACCACTGTCTGGCACCGCACTGGAAACACAGTGGAGGAGAAAACAGTTGAAGATGCTACTTTCCTGTCACCTAGGGCCTGCACGACAGTGTCTGACAATTTCCGGGCACATATTGGACCTCCCATTAGCCTGAATAGCCTGGTAGTGTCAGCACAGCATCATGCTGCCTTGGACTCACTCCCAAATTAGTGAATTTCTCTGCACCTTGATGTTCTCACCTGTAAAAGGGGGCCAAACACTGCACCTTCTCTCCAGCATCATGGTGAGTAGAAAATGAATTACACACACAGGACCTCAGTAAGCTCTCAGGAGCTCTCAGTTCATTATGACAGCACTCCCTTCTGGGCCCCCAGCAAGCCCGGCTGCCTGGGCATGTGACCTGGGCAGTCTCTCAGGGCTCACTCTTGGTTTAACTCTCTTATTGTTGCCATCTTCAAATTTGTAACAATTTTCGAACAAGGGATCTCACATTTTCTTTTTGTGTCAGATTTGAAAAGTTCTATGACCAGCCCTGAGCAGCATAAAGTGTCTGGTGAAAACCTATTGAAAGAATAAATAAGCGAATGGACCTAGCCCACCACACAAGAATGCCATTGACTTACCAAGCTAGCCAAGCGGGTTAGCCTTAGAGCCTTAGAGTAGAGTTAAATACACATTTATTGTTAACTCACCACCCCCCCATCCTTAGGACCAGGAACACCCAAAGCCTGACACAAGACTTCAAAGATATTCTTACTCAAACTATCCATTTCCTAGGAGGCTCAGGCCTTGACCAGAAGCAAAGGATGTTGGTGGAACCAGAAGAGGACCCAATCCAGCCCCTCATCGACCAAAACCACAGTCTGCAATGCCTTCAGCTCTCCAGTGTTTCTCTCCCTGCTCAGTCCCCCAGAGACAGAGGCATTCCTCCTTCCCTTCATCCCATTTCACAGATGGAGAGGTAAAGGCCCGGACACAATGGAGTTCCTCAATACTCTTCATACAGCCCAATCCTTCTGCCCAGCTAACTGTTATAAGGAGTATCTTAGCAAGCGTCCTCAGTTCAAACCACTCAACCCATGTTTGGATAGGCTGGTCAGACACAAGAATGACTTGCCAAATCTGGTCTGTGATCCCAACCCCAACAGCACCCCATGCTCTGGCACTCTGGGCTGCAAAAACAAACAACTCCTCTTTTCACTCTGCACATACATGCCCTTGGGGAGTGGGTGCTGGGGCTTTGATCGTTTCTGTATTAAGGCAGAGTCTGCAGCATACAGGCACTATGTGAAACTGGAAATGAGCAGGGACACAACAGACAGTGCCCCTGCCCTTCTTAAGCGGAAATAGACAAGTAATATGATTTATTTTTCCAAATGTGTGCAATACATTTGGTCAATAGAAAATAGGTAAGCAGGGGACGGACAAAGGAAGTGAAATAATTCAAGGTGAAGATTTCAGTTTTGAATACAGCTGCCAAGAAAAGCCTCAATGAGAAGTGGCCATATAAGCAAAGACCTAAAGAGGAGGAGACAGGAGGCTGTGGAATTTTCTGAAGGAAGAGCATTCCAGGCAGAGAAGACAGCTAGTGCAAGAGTCCTGGGGTCTTATCCATGGTTCACAATGTGGGATGATATCTGAAGAGACCAGGGGATTTGCCAAATCATACATATTCTTTCTACAATCCCATCTCCTCGACTCTGCTAGCCGTTTACACAACCTAATAAGAGTAGATAAATCTAATCTATAGATTTTTGAACAATTATTTATTGAACCTCTATGATGATAAAACACTGCTTCATTTATTAACACATTTCATTTCATTTTTTTAACTTGGAAGAGTCACATTCAAAATAGCTAGGAACAAGATTTTGAATGCTCTCCCTACAAAGAAATAGCACATGTTGAAGGTGATGGATATGCTGATTACCTTGATTTGATCATTGTACACTGCATACATGAATCATAACATCATGTCACACCCCATAAATATTCACAATTGTGTGTCAATCAAAAATAGAACAAAAATAATAAGAGAGGGTGTACCATAAAATTTTAATATTTAATAGAGCTTGGAACAGCAGACCAGGATTCGTTGTGCCCATGTGACTGTAATAATCTGTCCTTTCAGGGGGCCAGGGGCTGCCTCACCCAGCCGGGTCCAAATTCAGCTGTCCCTTCCTCCCTGCACACCTTGCCTGGCTCTGTCTGATATCCGGCCCTCAGTCCCCCAATCCCCGCCCAGGGAGCCCCTAACAAAGATAGACAGAGGAGATGTGTCCCTCGCTGGGTCTGGGAGGCAGAGGTTCCACCCACCTTGGGAAATCTGGGGGAGGCTGGGCTCCTTTTCTCCAGAAAGAGATGTTATTGGGGTGTGGAGGTGCGGGAAAAGTGGGGGCACTTAGACCCCTGGGAGGTCATCACAAGCCCCAGCAGCGGCAGCGGCTGCAGCCTGCTCCTGCAAGTGCTTGCGGGGAGTGGGGGGTTGTTGCAGAATCTTTAATTGTAGCTCACAGGCGCTGTCTTGAGCCAGGACGGGAGACTGGCGCTGCTCTTGGAACCCACCACAGGTCACGTTTAAGGGGAAGTGTGCCCCTCGCTGCAATGCCCAGACGCCACCTGCTCCAGGCACCCTGTGCTTCACCTTACTTCACCCCAATACCCCCACGTGCATCTTTGTGTGTGTTGAAAGCTCGGCATGAGTGTGCTCTTTGTGTGATTTTCTTGCGTCTACCTAGGTGTGGGATGAGCGGGCAGCCGCTGCCTGAGAGTGCGTGAGTGCCGCGGCCGTGACTGGGTATTGTGTCTTTGTGTAAGCGCGAGCGTGTGGACAGGGGGGTGCAGGTGGCGGGTTTCTCCTCACCAGCCTGCATCCCCTCCGCGCACACTCCCGGCTGGGGGCAAGTCGGTCGCCGGCGCCCTCACAGTCAACGCGGACCCAGAACTGTATGTGTCCGGAGAACACAACCCTACGGTGGCATCCTCGCGGCTTGCACAGCCTCCCCTTCCCCCCAAGCCGGGTGCACAGGGCTGTGTATGGGAAGATGGGCATCGGCGAGGAGAAGGAGATCGTGGCTGGGAACGGAGTCCGAAAGGCAAACTGAGGACACGCTGGAGGAGTACGGATGCGCTGCGGGAGAAGCAGGTCCTACCCGCACCACGCCCCTCCCGCAGGGTGGGGTGTAGGGAGCGAGCGCGGTTGTTCACCACTCCATTTTCCTCCGGGGGGTTCCCAGGTACAACTCCATCTTCGCCCCTGACTCTGGAGCCTAGAAAGGCAGCTGGGAACCCCCCACCAATTCTCCCATCAGTCCGCCGACCTCACCCCCCCCCCCACACACACACACCCCACATCCCACATCCAGGCGGCTGCTGATTGGCTGCCGGAAGTCTGTCCCAGCCCCGGTTCCGAGGCGGGAGCCTAGCGGTCCGAGGTGGGAGGTGCACAGTCGGGCTCGGGAGCCCCTCCCGAGTCCGCACGCCCTGCACCCTGCACCCTGCACCCTGCGCCCTGCGAGGGCCCAGCCGAACTCCAGGCGGGCAGGTGCGGAAGGAGCAGAAGGGACAGGGCCAAGGGTAGAAGCAAGTCCTGCAGGAAGAGAGGCGCCGCTGCTGCCTCCAACTGCTGCCTTTGCTGCTTGCCACCAGCTCCGAGCCGGCGTCCGGAGTCAGGAGGCAGGCAGGGCGCAGGGGGGCGCGGGGGGCGCCCATGGAGCACACGCACGCCCATCTCCCCGCTGCCAACAGCTCGCTGCTCTGGGCCTGCGGCTTGGGCTTCGTGCCTCTGGTCTACTACAGCCTCTTGCTGTGCCTCGGTTTACCAGGTGAGAAGTGTGGGGAAAGGGAGGGAAGCTGGGACCCCCAAGAGCGGAGCGACCCTGCCTGGAACCCCCAGCCTCCTTTCCGTGCGTTCCCTGGTGCCCCCTCCGAAAAGTTTAAGCCTTAAAGACAACTGTGGAGATTTCCAGACTGGCTGGGAGGAAAAGAAGTTGCCTGACAAAAATGGGACCGTGTGTGTGTGTGTGTGTGTGTGTGTGTGTGTGTGTGTGTGTTCCATGAGTGTGCACAGCAGGCTATAGATATTGTAAGTGAGTTGATGTGAGCAGTCTGTGGATTCCAGCATGCATCTATGTGCACTGCTGGATGGGTTGTGTGTGTGACAGGGTCCACGAAGGCTGCGTGTGACTTGACTGGAGGTTCTGGACAGAAAGCTGGTAGATGCTTCCCTTCTCCCTTCATCCCATACAGCTAGGCGCACTTCTGCTGCTCTTCCCCCCGCATCCCTCCCTGACCCAAGATGAAGCTGGAGATATTGGTGCTGGCACTGGGCATGTGCCCTTGCTGACCACCCTGAGCAATAAGCCATCCCTGTTGCCAAGGTCACCACCTCAGGGGGACACAGTCTCCTTGAGGATATGCTTGGCCCCAGCTTTGCCTCTGGAGCATACACACACACACACACACACAAACTTGCTATCCCTGGGCAGCAGCTCATAGCTGCGGCAGATGCCTGGCTGGTCCCCATCTTAATGTCCTCTGCAAAGTGTGGTTGGACTTGTGCTGTATTCCTGAAGATCACTGAGCCACTGAGGGTTAGAAGAGGGCATGGAGAAACTTTCCAGGATTGTGTGCAAGAGGGACAGGGAAAGAGGGAGAGAAGGACTTCTGAAACTCTGGCTTTGAATGGCCCCTTTCTCCTTCCACATAATCTCCACACAGAAAGATTCCTAAAGATCACTTGCAAGCAGAGGACAGAGAGAAACAGAAAGGACCAGAAAGGGGAAAAACCAGCATCTTGGCACTGTCTACCCCATCTTCTCTTGTCTGTGAATCTGAGCATCCTGGGATCCTGGGAACCTCATGGGTTTCTAGAGCATTGCTGAGATTTCCTTTCCCAAGCATTCAGCATGGCAGCTCATGAGATTGCTTCAGTCACCGACCCCCACTTTCCCAACTTTGACAGCACCACAAAGCACAAGTGTCCTGACTTGGGAGCCCTCCCCTAGTCCAATGAGAGGCCAGGCTTTTATTCTTAGCTAAGGGTTCAACTGTCCTAGAGAGAAGCCCATCTCTCACGCCCCCTGCCAGGGTAGCCACACATCTCCTGTAAGTTACCTTGAACTGGGATTGATTTCAACCTAGCTTGCACGACCCCACTGGCCCTCCCCAGAGCTCTCTTTTGGGAAACGAGTTTTGAGAAGGTTGCTTATTGGAGGTGTTTGCTGAACTTCTTTCCCCTCGGTCCACTCATGCTCATCAGAATGTACCTGACCCCAGTCTCTCCTGCATTCATATCTTCTGCTGCCAGACATGGCTGCTCGCTCACTGCCCCAAGCTGTTCCTCTGTAAATGCTTTAAGCGACAGAATTTAAGGACAAGGGACAAGTCCCAGAATCCCAAACCTGGACACAAGAGTGAGCAGAGTGAGGGAAACCTCAGGTCCACAAAGACTTCAAGGTGGAGAGAAGTTAAAGTGCCTCCGACCTTCACAATCTAACTCCTGTGCCAGCGAGTCTTCCTAACCCACGCACTGGCACCTACAGTATGCCAGGCTCTATACTAGGCCTGCTCTTAACCCTAGGTTGGGGGTCTTAAGAGAGAAGGCTTGGGATTAGATATTGGAGGGTGTTTATAATGTTCATACAGTCAGCTAATAGTTTTGAGCACCTGCTGTGTGCAGGTGCTAAGGATGTGCCAAAGGGTCTGGAAGTGTCCTGGGGGAAGCTCCTGTGTTCAGAAAGCTCACAAGTGGAAGCCTCGGTTCCAGAGGCAGCAGATGAATGCAGAAGGTCTGAGCATCCCAGAGAAGCATAACTGAGGAGGCCAAGCTCACCCAGAAATCATAGGCTGAAAGGGGTTCTGTTAACAGCCTACTGGGTTGGATCAAAAGTGAGATTCTTCTGTGATTCTTTTAGACCCATAAGAGGAGCCAAATACATCCTACCAAAAAAGAGTGCTGACTGATGGTGAACCAAGCTCTGCTGGGGTTACATGGGAGGGAGTCTTTTGCGTCTCTTCTATACCTCAGTTTTCTCATCTATAAAATGAGCTAATGAGAGGTGCTAATCCTGGAATTCAGGTCAGAAGCAATGGTGCTCATGGAGATGATGGTGCTGGTTATGAGAAAGATTCAATGCCTGGTACATGCATTGGTTCATGAAGTGTGGCCTCAGCTGTGGCTGCCACAATGCTGATTGGGTGGCAAGGAGGAGCGGGCTGATTAGCGCCATCGTGAGCCAGCAGAGGGCCCTGGGGTGCACAGAGGAAAGCACTCAGCGTGGTACGCTACTGCGCTTGCAAGTTCACTGCAGTAGTCCCCACATCGACCCCAGCCAGCAGCAATTAGCAGACACTCACTACCTCACCACTGACAGCAAGCACAGCCCTGCTGGGTGTGAAGTAACAGACTGCAGGCCTCCATAACAATGTTGGAACTAAGGTTTTAATTGAATCACTGTTCCTGGCAATGAACTCACTCAAAGTTTTCCAAATTGTTGGAGTGGTGGTTGGAGACGTGGGTGGGAACTGAGGGATGGATGGCAAGTAGTGGAGTGTTTGCCACGGGAAAGCCAGTAATTAGTGGGGAATGGCAGGTGTCTGGGGCTATCTGCAGTCTCTAAATTGGGAGGAAGAGCTAAGGAAAACCCTGTGGGCCCCTCCTTTGGTTTAGGGAATTGTACCACATGATCTAACTCACTTGGTTTGGTATGGGATCCCAGGAATGCTAATGTGAATTATGGGTACAGGAGGCTAAGACCCAAGGATTACAAGTTCAGGTCCTACCTGGACAACTTAACAGGACCCTGTCTTGAAATTAAAGAATAAAATAAAATAAAGGGGGCTGGGGACATAGCTCAAGGGAAGAGCATCACCATGGGTTTGATCCTCAGTATCACAATCATTCAATTAATCAATCGATCCTTTTAAATATGAGTAGAAGTTGCCACTTATAAATTCTCCACTTTTGAGGACCACAATTTGTCCCATCAGTAAAAGGGGAGCAACAGTTGTTCAGAATGAACCCCACAGGCAGTACCTATTAAATGAGATAATCTATGTAAAGCTCCAAACATAGTGTCACTCGCCCGTGCTCCACTGTCCCAGCTACTCAGGAGACTGAGAGAGGAGACTCGATTCAACTCACAAGCTCAAAGCTACCTTTATGTTAAGCTAGGAGGACTCCATTCCAGAAAAAAATGAAAAATAAAAAAGAAAGCCTCCAAATAGTGCCTAGACAAAGAAAATACTTTTACCTTATTTTCTTCTCCAAAATAGATTTCCCTACTTATGCAATGGTACTTTTTCTGTATCAGAACCCTGTGGCCTACACATGTCTCTAGTCCATTTTATAGATGAACAAACTGAGAGCCAGAGAAGGGAAGCATCTGGTCTACAGTGATCCAGTCAAATCAGCATCCAAACACACCTGCTCTGTTTATGGATCTCACCCACTGCATTCATGACTTCTGGGCTCCTGCTGTGAGGAGAGTGAAGAACATTGTAACCTGAGCCATTCGCAAATCCCTGGCTCATTGTCTCTCTTTCTCCTTTTGGCTTTGGTTTTGTCTTGAGGTATTGGGGACTGACACAGGAAGCTTGTCACTGAACCACATCCCTAATCTTTTTGATTTTTTATTTGGAGATAAACTCTCACTAAGTCACCAAGTTGCCCAGGCTGGCTTGGCACTTGGAATTCTCCTGTCTCGGCCTCTCAAAGTACTGTGATTACAGGCTTGCACCGCTGTGCCCAGCTTCCTCCTTTTCCTTTATTAAGTAAACAAGATGTTGCTCACTTCTCAAGACACAGAAAATAAGCCAGCAGATACAGAGCATGGTGGTACATGTCCATAATATCAGCATGGAGGAAGGTCGAGGCAGGATTGCAGATTCAAGCTCAACCTGGACAATTTTGTGACATTTTGTCTCAAGGTTTGTTTGTTTGTTTTTGTTTTGTCTTTTTGGGACAGGGTCTCCCTATGCAGTTTAGGCTGGCCTTGAGCTCACTTTGTAGCCCAGGCTGGTCTCAAACTCACAATGATCCTCCTGGCTCAGCCTCCCAAGTGCTGGGATAACAGGCATGCATGACCATACCTGGCTTTTTCTCAAGTTGTTTTTTGGGGTTTTTTGTTGTTTGTTGTTGTTGTTGTTGTTGTTGTTTTTGTTTGTTTTGTTTTTGTTTTTTTCGTTGTTGTTTTTTTTGTACTGGGGATCAAACTCATGACTTCACATTTGCCAAGCAGGCACTTACACCGCTAAGCTAAACCCCTGGCCCCGACAAGTTCTTAAAAAAATAAATAAAAAGGACAGGGGATGAAGCTCTGTAATAGGACAGCCCTGGGTTTAACGCCTGGTAACAAAAAAGCTTCAGCAGAGCTAATACTGGGAACCAGACAGTGAGAAGAAAAGAATGAGCCTGAATGCCAGGGCTGGGGAAGACAGCAGACAGGATGAGGAGTGAGCCCTCCTGACGAGGGCAAGAAGTGCAAATTAAACTGAGATGGGAAAGATGTTTTAAATTTTACTTTCTGAAAGGTGCCAGAGATCTCAAGGAAGACAGGGTGAGGAAGGGGGCACTGGCTTGATTCTGCCTGCTACTGGTAGAGGGGAGCATCTCCAAGGGGCCCAGCCAGGCTGACAAGGTCTAGAGCAAAAGGACATAAGGGCCGAGAGGAGTCCTTGGGCCTCAGGTAGTGAGCCCACTGACACCTGGCAGTTCCCGTGGTTATAACCCAGAGGTGCCAAACTGATAGCCTCGGCCAGACTGAGCTCTGCGTGTGTGTTTTCTTTAGCGTTTAAACATCTTTAATTAATGTAAAGATAGTAA